CCCCTGGAATAACCCTGCAACCTGGGCCTTGTGCCCTGACCAGGAATTGAACACACAACCTCCGGTGCACGGGCCTGGATGCTCCAACTACGGAGCCTCGCTGGTCCGGGGCGAGTAAACATTGGCTTCCATGCCCCGGCTCGCATGCCCGCCGGACAGGCTGCTGTAATCCGTTCTTGCCACAGAATGACTCCAGCTCTCCCGGGTCAAAGGCAGCGAAGAGCTGGCTGTCAAACCTGTCAATAGGACGTGCCCCAGAGCCATCTGCCTGTGAGATGCTGGAGCTGAATTCTACAACCCCCTGCTCCGGCGTCCTGCTCTGAGACTCAGCTCTCCCCACAAGGGCTTCCTGGCCACCAGCTGTCAACTTCCTCCCAGTGTGCGCCCAGAAAGAAGGTGAGAAACTAGGATGAAACTGGGAATGCCAAGTCCCAGCGCGTGACCTCTGGTGGCTTCCCTGGGGGAGAGGGGCTCAGCCACGGGGGACATATCGCTTCCCCAGGGGCCAACATGGGGTGAAAGGCTGAAGATGGCCACAGCCGGCCCCCCAAAGGGAAAGGTTGGAGGAGGTGGTAATGGGGCGCTCTGCCTCAGAGCCATGTGTCCAAAGCCATCCCTAGAATGACCGGGCCTCTTTTTTATTTTTTAAAGTATATTTTTATTGACTTATTTTAAATATATATATATATATATTATATTTTTATTTATTTCATAGAGGAAGGGAGAGGGGGAGAGAGAGAGACATCAATGATTAAAGAATCATTAATCGGCCGCCTCCTGCACGCCCCCCACTGGGGATGTGCCCACAACCCGGGCATGTGCTCCTGGCTGGAATCAACCCGGGACCCTTCAGTCCGCAGGCCGACGCTCTATCCACTGAGCCACACCAGCCGGGGCTTAAGTGTATTTGTATTGGTTTCTGAGAGGGAGGGAGGGAAACATCCGTGATGAGAGCTCCATGCACCGCTGCCTCCTGCTCGGCGCCCCCCGCCCCGCCCCGCCTCCGGGGATGAGTCCACAAGCCGGGCCTGTGCTTGGACCCGAACCCCACGCCGACCTCCGGCTCCCGGGTCGGCGCTCCCCCAGCCGCGAGGGGTGCCTCCGCCTGGGCGCTCGCGGGGCGGCGGCCGCGTTTGCTGGAATCGGACCGGGAGGCGCGGCGCCCTCCGCAGCCGGAGCGGAGGCCAAGGTCAGCGAGGCTGCGGGACCGAGCGCCTCGGCCCGGCCGGCCCGGCGGAGCCCGCACGCGGCGCGGCCGGAGGCGCAGGAGGAACTGCGTCCCCAGCCCTTCGAGGGGCGACCCGGAGGCCCCCGGGCTCCTCCCCGGAGCCCGCGCGCGGCCCCTGCCCGGCCCCGCGGCCCCTGCCCCCGCGCCCCGCCGGCCTCCCTCCGGCGCGCCCCTCGCACCTTGACCGTGTCCAGCGGGTGCCCCACGAACACCAGGCACATGCCGCCGAAGCCGCCGGCCAGCAGGTTCTTGAGCGGGCTGACGGCCTTCGCCTGGTCCGTCATGGTCCGGCTGCCTGTCAGGACGTTCCGGCCGCGCCGCCGCCCTTTCACCCACTTTCGGGTGGGCGGGGCCGGCGCCGGGGCCGCCCGGGGGCGGGCCTACGCCGCCCGGCCTGCTTCCGCCGGGCCGCTTCCGGGAGAGGCCCCGCCCACGTGGGCGTGGCCTGCGGGCGTTGGGGTGGCGCCCGGCGGTGTGCGGGGCGGGGCGGGCCGATGGACCGAGTTGGGGTCTTCCGGGCTTCCACCCCGCGGGCACCGGGTCCGCTGGGCGGTGTGCCCAGCACCACGGGGAGTCCCTGCGCTTGTGGAGCTTAGAGGGCGTATCAAAGATAAATAAGTGAAAAATAGTGAATCACGTGTGACTGCTGTGCGATGGAGAAACCTAAGCCTGGACAGAGGGTTAGAGGTGGGAGAGCAGAGTAATTGCAACGTGGATGAGGGGCGTAAGGAAGGGTTTCACCGAGAAGGTGGCTGGATTCAAGACCTGAGAAGGCAAGGGAGTGCGTCCAGTCTGGACAAAGGGGGTGCAGGTTGAGGGACCTGCCATACATGCAAAAACCCTGAGATATGCCCTGACTGGTGTTGCTCAGTGAATAGCGCCTCGGCCTACGAACTGAAGGGTCCCAGGTTCAATTCTGGTCAAGGGCATGTACCTTGGTTGCGGGCACATCCCCAGTAGGTGGTGTACAGGAGGCAGCTGATCGATTTTTCTCACTCTATTCCGCTCCCTCTCTGTAAAAATCAATAAAATATATATTTTTAAAAACACCCTGAGATGGTCTGTCCTGTCCTGTCAGAAACTGCAGGGAAGCCTTGAGGGCTGGAGCAGTGAGGGAGAGCATGAGACAGCAGCTGACCAAGACGTAGCGGTGAGGGTAGCACACAAAGCTGACTTGGTCTTTGTGAGGACATCAGCTTCTCTTCTGAAGGAGATGGCAACCATTCCGGTGCTTTGAGCAAGGGAGAGACAGCCTGACTGGTGAGTTAACAGGTGCCCTCTGAGTGCTGGGCGAGGGTAAGGGAGCCAGAAGAAAGCAGAAAGTTTTGAGAAGGCTCATTTCTATACTGGCTTGGATCAGGGGGCATAGAAGAGGAAGTGGGGAGGAGTATGTGGATACTAGGTATATTCTGAAAGAACTTAAAGGAATTGTTAATGAAGAGACTAAAAGCTATGTGAGAAAGAAGTTAAGGATTATGCTAATGTTTTGCCTTATTGACTTTAGGTGCACGGAATCCAGGTATTCATCATATTACTCTTTTCTGTATGTGTGAAATTTTTAAATAAAAAAAGCGGTGGACAGTAGTTATACCCCTATTCTACAGCAGGTTCCTCAATGTCAAGGTGACCTGGTAAGTCCCCCTCCGGAGGTCTCATCACTTAGAGCTTTTAAGCACCAATAGTGACATGATCCAATCTGTTCTAGAAAATCCATTTTGGATGGATAAATCTGTTTTGGGAGGAACTGGAAGCAGGGAAACCAGTTGAGAGAGAACACAGCAGTCTGGGCTAGAGGCGGTAAAGGCGGGAACTGAGGCAGAGGTCCTGGAAGATGGGAAAGGAGCCAGGACACAGAGGCATTACCAGGAATCCTGCAGTGATTCTGGGTTACAGACACACTGCGATTGCAGTGCCCAGGGTACACCTGGCTGATGTCACATGCGGAGCCTGCGGACCAGGAGAGGTGAAGGCCAGAGCCAGGAGCCAGGAAGGCTTCAGCGTGAGATATATGCAACCCCTGGGGGAGGGGCCAGCATGAAAGGAGCCCCCAGAGCAGAGGCTGCTACCAGAATTTTGGAGAAAAATGAAGATAAAATGGTGCCTTTGAGTCCAAGAGATGAAATGATCAAATTCTGGGTCAAACGAATGAATTTTAAGTGCTCATTAGGGTTAACTAGCAGCCATTGGTGACACTCAGAAGAAGCTTGCCAGGAGTGTTGACACATGATGGATCTGATGCTGAAGGCAGAGGCCCTGAGAGTCAGTTATTGGGTCAAGGAGCTTGGTAGGGAAGGGAAAGGAACAAAGAATTAAAGGAGACATTAGACTTTAGGGTATTTTTTTTGTTTTGTTTTTAAAGATGGGACTGAGGCTGACAGAAACATCAAGAAGGGAGAAAGAATAGCTAAGACAAGGTCCCTGAGCTCTGGCCAGTGTGGCTCAGTTGGTTGAGCATCATCCCATGGGACAGAGTTGCCAGTTCAATTCCTGGTCAGGGCACATGCCCAGTTACAGGCTCCATCCCCAGAAGGCATGCAGGAGGCAGCTAATGATTCCCTCTCATCATTGATGTTTCTCTCTCTCTGAAATCAATAAAGTATTTAAAAAAAAATACCTTTTGTTGTCAATAAATGCCTTTGTACAATATCTATTATTTATTAAATTAACAAATAAAGGGCTGTTTTCTCAAAACAAATTAGTCAGTACACTGGATTATAGACTTTTATGCTGCTAATATACAAGTGAGGAGTCCATCAGAAAATCCTACAATCAACATACTCGCTACCATTAATTACTCCAATTAAATTTGGAGTTTTTGAGGAAGTATTTGCATCTGATTTCGGCCCAAGTTTTGAGTTAAAATGAAAGTTGAAGCTCATGTGTAAGAAATATACATGAGTACCTATAAGAAGCAGGAACTAAATGAGAGAGCCCATCACACATTGATATCTCAAATAGCAGGACGTGTACAACTCCTGTCTGGACGGAAATGGTTAGGGTTCTCCAGGGACCTGCCCAGCCCAGGCATCTCTGGCTTCCGCCAGCGCAGCCACTCGAGCGAGCCTCCGAGGTCCCCCCCATAACGGCCGACCACAGGCCCTGGAAGGTGCAAGTCCCAATTGGCACTTGCTACATTGTTGGGGGGCGGAGGGTGCAGCCAGGCAGTTAGCATTCAGTTTTGGGGGACTCTTTCTCCCTCCCCACATGGGAGTCTGTACTTGTTCTTCAATTAATCTCCATCTTTGCTATTAAAAAAAAAACCCAAAACAACAAACAAAAAAATTCAGTTTCGTAAGGCGAATGGGAAACGAAATAACTGGATCGCGAATCGGGGCGCGCAGAAGCTCTGCGGCTCGGGGGCCACCAAGCGACGGCCTCAGCGGAGGCCCCGGCGGCCCGGTACGCCGACCCGCAGGCCCCGCGAGGAATAACAGTCCTGGATCCCGGACTCCCCGCACCCAACGCCCGCGGACAAACGGCGGAGAGAGAGAGAGGCGTCTGTCCGGCCAGCGCTGGGTAAGGCCCCGGCGGGCGGCCGGAAGCCGGGCCAGGACACGCTGCCGAGGGCCGAACCCGCTCCCCGCGGCCTCGGAGCGGCGGGCCCGCGTCGGACTCCGGGCCCGGCGACGCGCCACGCCGAGCGTCGGCCGGAGGGTCACACTCCCCGGCGCCGGCTGCGACCCCGGCGACCGCGGGCCGACCCCGAGCCGGAAGTGACGCAAGCGCGCCGAGCACTTCCGGAGTTGCGGGACCGCTCCGCCGGGGGAAGCAGCGCGGGCCTAGACCGGCGTCGGCCCGCCGCCTCCGCCGCCGCCGCGCCCGGCTCAGCTCCCTGTGGCCCGGCTCGACCCGGCCCGGCCCGCCCGGGCTCAGCGGCCGCGGGGCCGCGGCTCCGGTAAGTGAGGGGAGCGGCGGCCTTGTTTACCGGCGGCCGGGCGGGCTGGGCTCTCCGCGCGCCGCCCTAGCCCGGTGGGGCTCCGCCTTCGCCGCCCGCGAGGCCCCAGCGCCCGGCCGCCGGTGCCGGGCTCCGCTCCCGCCGCCGTGCGCGGGGCCGGCGGGGAGGAGGGCGGGCGGCCGTCTCTCCCCCTCGAGGCGCCGCCGCTCGCGGAGAGGTCGGAGGCCAGCGCCTCTGAGCGCCCGGCGCCGGGGCCTCCCCAACGGGCGCCGGAGCCGCGCCGCCTCCGGGCTCCGCTCTCCTAACGTCCGCCCCGCCGGGAAGGGCCCCCGGCGCGCGGGGCCGTGTCCTCGCGGCTCTCCGGCGCCTGGGACGGGCCGTGTGGCCGCCGTGCCGGGTGCCGGCCCCTCAGGCCGATGGTCGCTCAGCCGCGCAGGACCCGCCGCTGTCCCTTTGCCGCTCGTGGGCAGCCACCAGCCACGTGCGGCCACTGAGCGTTTGTCCTGTGGCCGGGGCGACTGAAAAACCAAGTTTTAAATTTTATTTTATTTTTTTTACGTTAAAATTAAGCATCCCTGCGTGGCTAAGCAGCTGCCGTGTTTGACCGGACGAGACACAGAGCGGAGTTTTGGAACTAAGTTGTCGGTTCACATTTCTGTGCCCAGTCGCTGCCCTCGGCCATGCGAGCTTGGTGAGTGGCGCTCCGGGCTCAGTGCTGTGTCTGGAGAAATACCGTCGGGGCTCCCTCTCCCCCCAAAGCCTCTGTTCCTTTGCACTTCCGGACCCTTGAGCCCAGGGTGGGTGTCCAGGGCTTTGGCTCTGGGGAAAATAACGTGTTTTACTACTTTTCTGTCTAGGATGTCGGGATAATATTTAACATCCGAGGAAATCGAAGTTGTCATCCATTCTGTTCCGAGGCAGTGACATACTGGCCCTGTGAGGAATGTCAGCACTCTTTCAAGTAGAATAGGGATATTTAACTTCGGAAAGATAAAAACTGCCCTGGCCCGGTGGCTCAGGTGGTTGGAGTGGCCCACCCTGCGTGGAAAGGGTCTCAGCTTAGATCCGCTGGTCAGGGTGTACAGGGACACCGCCAAAGCTGGTCAGGGTGTACAGGGGACACCGCCAAAGCTGGTCAGGGTGTACAGGGAACACCGCCAAAGCCTGCTGGACCTCTGAGCCCAGATCCTGGGAAGGAATTCCAGAGGAGGGAAAAGCATACTTTTGTGTTGTGATTCTGGAGCTAACTCTGTACCAGGGATGGGGGCCTGACCAGTGTGGCTCAGTGGCTGAGCATTGACCTATGAGCCAGGAGGTCACGGTTGGATTCCCAGTCAGGACACATGACCTGGTTGTAGGCGTGATCCCCAGTGGGGGGCATGCAGGAGGCAGCTAATCCACGGTTCTCTCTCCCTCTCCCTTCCTCTCTGAAAAAAATGGAAAAAAAAATTTTATAAATATATTTTATTGATTTTTTACAGAGAGGAAGAGAGGGATAGTTAGAAACATCAATGAGAGAGAAACATCAGTCAGCTGCCTCTTGCACACCCCCTACTTGGGATATGCCCGCAACCAGAGTACTTGCCCTTGACCAGAATCAAACCTGGGACCTTTCAGTCGGCAGGCTGACGCTCTATCCACTGAGCCAAACTCGTTTCGGCCAATGAAAATATATTTTAAAAAAGAATGGGAGTTATGAGTCATGCTAGGCCTCATTGGTAAGGAGATGAAAGCCACTTTGTAGGGTTGTGAAGCTTTACTGAGAATACATCTGACTTGTAATTGGCTCTCATTGCAGGAGAGTTGTTATTGGTAGTGATATTTTGTAGAGAGGGGCAATATTCCTAGGTTGTTTGTCTGGTGAGCAGTATCTTACATAAACGGTCTGTGGCTGTGACGCCCTCCTGACCAAAGGAGCAGTGGCTCCCGGCAGGGTGTGTGTTACTAGTGGCAGAGAACCACGAGCAGCAGGGAGCTATGAGCCGCAGTGGGCGGGGCGGCCAGCTGAGGCTAGTGGAAGCGAGCTACTTACCCATCATTTGGTGCATGCTTGGCCTCTAGTCTTACGTAAAAATACAAGCAAAGAAAAAATGTTTTTTAAAGTCAATCGTTCCTCTACTATTTTGAAAATAATCATCCACTGTAGTTTGGACTTTGGTTTTCACTTAATTTATATTTGCCTGTCTATGTTTGAAAGTTGTAAGCTCTGGTTTTCCGAGAAATCCTAAAGGATTAAGAAATAGACATCCTATATAACATCCTCCTATATAATAAAAGGCTAATATGCAAATCGACCAAAGAGGGGAACCACCTGTCTCAATGATGCACACTGACCATCATGGGGTAGACGCTCAGCACAGGAGCTGCCCGTTGGTGGTCACTGCACTCAGCCAAAGCCAGGCTGAGCAGCACTAAGGTTGTCCGACTGACTTCTTAGGTCCACTCCCCACACGGTCATTTCAGCGTCCACCGTTTCTTCTTTTCAGTCGGGTCGTTTCTAAACTTTCTAAATAATTTTTCGGCTAATGAAATGAAAATAGGATTCTACTGAATCTCATTATCTACCTTCTCCAGGACTTCTGTGGGATCAAATGAGATGAGGCATGGGAAAAGACTTCACAGACATTTGGTTAAAGTGTAAAATGTTTCCACCTGGCTATAATGCAAGTTGTGTTCCTGGGCTGAAGAAACTCCAAGGAGGCTAGTTGCTAGATAGAGGAAGCTGGGTGTTGCTATGTGATGTCATTACCTGGTGCCCACAGCGACCATTTGCAAGCTGGGCTGGACTATGGGCCTCATTTTGTGCCATGGGGTATTGGCAGCATTGGCTGTGTGTGATTCGGTGGGGTGTCGCTCTGGGGTGGTGGTGGGGCCTGTGCCCCACTTGGGGGAACCTGAGTATTGCTTTGTCTGCGGTGCTGTTTCTTTGTAAATGGCCGGTGCGTATCATGGCAGCTCCTGCATTGAGCATCTACTCCCTGGTGGTCAGCGCACATTATAGCAACCAGTCAGATGGACACTTAGCATATATATATGCTTTTACATGTTTATATATATGGGTTACTATAATAAAGTAAGCTAGAGAAAATTATAAGGAAAACATATTTACAGTATTTATTGAAAAACTCCATATAAGTGGACCTGGGCAGTTCAGACTCATATTCAAGGGTCAGTTGTAATTTCATAGGTACTCTGGTCCCTTGTTGCTTATCCTTTTAAATGTCTTTACTTTTAATTTTTAAAAGTATTTTTGTTGATTTCAGAGAGGAAAGGAGAGAGATAGAAACATCAATGACGAGAGAGAATCATTGATCAACTGCCTCCTGCATGTCCCTGACTGGAATAGAACCCAGGACCCTTCAGTCTATAGGCCAGTGCTCTATCCACTGAGCCAAACCAGCCAGGGCTAAAATCTTTGCTTTTTAAAAATAAATTTGCAAAACTAGGGTATCATTTTAAAAATATATAAATAGAATTTTCTTTTCATTTCAGATGGAAATTATATGACAGAATATTTGGGTAACATCTTCCTGAAAGATCTTCGAGGACTACAGGTATTTTTAATTTAGAAATTAACTTTTCTTCTAAAGGAAAAATACCATAGTTAGTAGGTTCAGTTGTGAATTGGTGGTTCTGCCATATAAACCAGTTTGTTAAAAGTGAAATTGCAAGTATCCTATTTATTGTCCTCTTGTGATTTTTTAAAATTGGGCATTTATAGTTAATATCAAACTTAGATTCATTGGTTTTTTAAAATTTATTTTATCATTAAAACATGGCTCTAGCCAAAACCGGTTTGGCTCATTGGATAGAGCGTCGGCCTGCGGGCTGAAAGGTCCCGGGTTCGATTCCGGTCAAGGGCATGTACCTTGGTTTCGGGCACATCCCTAGTGGCGGGTGTGCAGGAGGCAGCTGATAGATGTTTCTCTCTCACCGATGTCTCTAGCTCTCTATCCCTCGGGGATAGGTTATAGAGGGGTAGAGTCAGGGTTATGCCATTTTGGTTCTTGAATGACTTCTGTTACAGTTTCTCACAGTGAAGTAACAAACACACTTTTTTTCTTTTTCTTCCTTAGAAGACAAAAACACTAATGCATTTGAGAAAGTGGTAAAGTTGGGGGGGAAGGGAAAAACCCTGCTTTCCGGATTTGCATCGTGGCTGGATGCTAAGATGTCGGTGGACATGAATAGCCAGGGGTCTGACAGCAATGAAGAGGACTATGACCCCAATTGTGAAGAAGAGGAGGAGGACGAGGACCCCGGGGACATAGAGGACTATTACGTGGGCGTCGCCAGCGACGTGGAGCAGCAGGGGGCCGACGCCTTCGACCCTGAGGAGTACCAGTTCACCTGCTTGACCTACAAGGAGTCCGAGGGCGCCCTCAACGAGCACATGATCAGCCTGGCCTCTGTCCTCAAGGTGAGCAGTGCTGTCAGTTGCACGTGTGACCCTGCCCTTCTCCAGTTAAAGCTAAACATGAGCTGCCGTTAACTCACTTTTCCTGCAGGCCGCTGGATGGCTCTGTAGCTTGAAGCCATGTTTGAGTATATGTTGCATCATTTGGACATATTTGATGCATTCACTTTGTTTTCCGGTCTGTGCATATCTAAGACCCTCAGGTTCTCAGACTGCTAAGCATTACCAAGGAGCGGTGGGTAGGTTCAAGAAAGACAGACCAGAATTGCAGGGATGAACACTGTTTAAGAAAGTGAGTCTTATGAAACTTTACTGTGTAAATCTGATAAGCACCAGAATCACCACCTTCTACACAACACGTGTGAGCCACTGATAATGTTTCCCTAAATAATCAGTGCCTCTGGGCTCCCGATCTCATTTGTTTCCTATCCTGGTGATTAATGTTGGAAGAAATCTTACAGCTGTAACTTTAAGAATCAAGTAAGTTCTCATAACTTGTATTTCACTGATTTGAGGGGGTTGTTAATACGGAAATTTTAAGGAAGGAATAAAGTTGGTTATTCCAGTAAGAATCTTATTTTTAACACTTAACTAGCATACTTTTCTCTTTCTTTAAATTTTTATTGGTTTTAGAGAGGAAGGAAGGAAGAGAGACAGAGAGAGAAACATCGATCAGTTACCTCCCATATGTGCCTGTATGTGCCCGCCTGGGGATGGAGCCCCAAACCTAGGTATATGCCTGACTGGGATGAACACGCAGCCTCCTGGTGCCTGAGGTGATGCTCCAACCACTGAGCATCCCGGCGAGGGGCATTCTTTTCAGCATCTTGCCCCCCAGCCGGTTCTTGTCCTCACTGTCTCATGTTGTTGTATGTAATGTTACACACGTATGTAGGATGCTCACATAGAACACCGTGCACTACTTTTACGGTCCTTTAGACAGTCTCCCAGCTTGTTTCTTTCCCTCAATGTGTTGCCCATTATGTGAAAATGGGGGCATTTTTCTCCTTTCACTGTTTCACTGGCTTTCTTTTGGGAGCTATTCTCTGGACTTCGTTGTCTGCTCGAGGTTGAAGTCAAAGGGACATTGTCTTGGTTTCAGCCCAATAATCTTCTTGTTAATATTGGTAAACGGAATCCACTGAGGTGTGCTGTGTGTGATTTCTGTAATAGTTTTCCAGGTTAGGGATTTCCCCCCCCGAGGTGGTCAGCAAAGCCTAATAACCTTGGATTTAGATCCTCAGGGGTTTATGAGCCACTAGCTAGAAGCTGACTGCTAGGCTTTTTGTGTGACTCATCCCTGAAGCGATTGCTGCCTTTCTCTGTGCTCAGCAGAAGCCTCGGGAGAGCGGAGACCTTTGGAAGCCCTGGCTTTGGGGTTTCTGCGCCGTAGCTCTCCCACAGCTGCTGGCACTCTGCTTCTGGCGGGCATTGCCCTGGGAGAAAGGAGGGCTGGTTTCTTTCTTCCTCACCTGCACACTTCTCCCTGCTGGTCAGCTAGCTTCTTATGCTTTAATCTTATTGTCAGGTCATACACAGCGTTGGTATTTGAAATGAGAAAGGGAATTGTCAGGTGTGTGACGGAGTGGTCCAGTGTCACCTCATTGAGTTCATCAGAGTCTTTCCAGCTAGGCATAGGAATTCTGATTGCAAGCCCTACTGGAGACAGCAGAGGGGCCAGGCACCTCCCTTTCTGTGAGAGAGAGAAAGACAGAGAGAGAGTGAGTGAGTGAGTGAGTGTGTGTGTGTTAAAATACATGTAACGTGAAATTCATCGTTTTACATTCTCCCTTGTGAGGCTGGCCGGGCCAGCCCGCTGAAAAGCCTTTCTCCCTGGAGAGCTCTCCTGCCCTGTGGTGCCCTCGGGGCTCCTTCAGAGGCCAGCGTGTGCTTGCTCTGGGCAAGCCTGGCTAAGGAGCCTAGAAACGGTGGTGGGCACTCCACTGGTCTGTGCCCAGATGGTACAGCCTTGTATGAGGTCGCACTCTGCAGTCTCCTGACGGCTTGTGTTTGCCTTCACACAGATGTTTTCGTGGTCTCTCCAACTAGATTGTTGCTTCCTGGAGGGCAGGGACCGCTTTGCACATTTCCCCCCCTCCTTCCTGTCAGTATTGCACCCAGAGTAGGTAGTAAGTAATTTCTTGGATAGTTTGTGTTTTGTCAGCTGTTGAGGACAGTAACTGATGCTATTGGTGAGTTAGGTTCCCTAGATCCTGCTGTGCATCCTTGTCTAAGGTCATGAAAAGGCATATTCTAGCCCTCAAGGTCATGAAAAGAAGGAAAAAGAACTTAGAATGGAGATGAAAGGGTAAAAAGAGAGAAGGAAAGTTAAGACACAAGGAAAGAGTTCAGGAGAAAATGGGGCAGGCCCTAGCTGGTTTGGCTCAGTGGATAGGCCATAAGCCTGTGGACTGAAAGGTGCCAGGTTCCATTCTGGTCAAGGGCACAGGCCCAGGTTGCGCCTGGGTCCCCAGTAGGGAGTGTGCAGGAGGCAGCCAGTAAATGATTACCTCTTTTTTTTAATTTTATTTTTATTTTTTAAAAAATATATTTTATTGATTTTTTTTTTTTACAGAGAGGAAGAGAAAGGGATAGAGACTAGAAACATTGATGAGAGAGAAACATCAATCAGCTGCCTCCTGCACACCCCCTACTGGGGATGTGCCCACAACCAACGTACATGCCCTTGATTGGAATCGAACCCAGGACCTTTCAGTCCGCAGGCCGACGCTCTATCCACTGAGCCAAACCGATTTTAGCAATGATTCCCTCTTGTCATTGATGTTTCTAACTCTCCCTTTCCCTCTTTGAAATCAATTAAAAATATTTTTAAAAATTAAAATAAAAGATCCTCTCTCATCATTGATGTTTCTATATCTCTCTCTTCCTTCCTCTCTGAAATCAATTAATATATAGCTACACACACACACACACACACACTCACATACATATATATACTGTGTGTGTGTGTGTGTGTGTGTGTGTGTGTGTATATATATATATATATATATATATATATATAGTGTGGGTTTTTTTGTGTTTTTTTTTTTAAAGGGAAAATGGGGCCAAAAGGAGAGTAATCCATGGAAGGTAGATGATGCAGCAGCACAGGTTTCCCCATCCTAGACCTCCCCGAGGCGCACGTTCAGACCGCTTTCTCTGGGCCGGGCCGGGCCCCGGGGCCTGGCTCTTCCGGTGGCCTGGCTGCACGTGCAGGACGCCCGAGTGGTTTGGGAGCCTGGCCCAGGCCAGGCAGACACCACGTGTTCACTAATAAAGGAGGTGCGTGGGCTGGGCTGGGTGGCAGGCCGTCCCGTCTCATGCCCCAGCGCAGAGCAGGGCGTGGCCTGGAGCCATTGCCCAGCCTCTGCCCGCAGGTTGCAGCCCTGACATGGTTACACGGTGAAAAAGGGAAGGAAGGAGTCACATGTCATCGTCCTCTCAGGCTGGCTAAAAACGAGCCTTTTTACTTTTATGATGAATATTTTTTGAGACAGGGAATGCTCTAAGTGCTGAGGTGACAGAATGGCGTTCACAGCTCCGCTGCCGCCTGCCTGCCTTCCTGTGGAGATCAGTCACCCTGATCGTGACTGATCCCCCTTGGTCCTGGCACCGTGTGTACAGTCCGTGACACACTGCGTCTTCCTTCTTCCACATGTTCATGTGCAGTTGGGGCCAGTAGGGAGTGTCATGTGTGTTTAACATTACAGTTTGGGAAGACTGCCTCTGAACAAAGCTCTCTGACTCTGAGGCGTGGCTCCAGTTTGTCACTGCTGTCCAGGTCTGTGTGACTCCTTTTGTGTGTGGCAGTTGCCTGTGCGTGAGCCATCGTCCAACATACAGTTAAGCCTTTTACTCCTTTGGGATTTGATGTCTCTGAAGGAGAAGAACCCTAACTGAGTAGTTAGCCGAGAAGGATCTGTCCTCCATTGAAGCTGTCAGCCTGCCCGTGAGCCTCCTGCTGCCTTGCTCTCGGGCTGCCTGGAGCTCAGCCTCTGGCGCCCCGGCGGCTCTCCTGGGGTCCAGCGTGCTGCTGCAGGGGCGCTCCTCCTCCCAGCACGTCGGGTGTGGGCAGAAGAGGGGGTGCTGTGCGGGGCCTGCCCCATTGCTTACGAAGGGAGAAGAGAGACTGTGGGCTCGGGCTCAGGAGCAGTGAGCTCTGAGCTTTGTGCGGACAGGAACTGGGGAGGTGTGATCGGAGGGCGGCTGGTAACATGCAGACCCAGCGGGTTGAAAGCAGGGGGTGGGAACGTGACTCCGGCTGGGTGGGAGACGAAGCTGCACTGAAGCCGCACTGGAATAAACTGGAAGGAGGTTGTGCAGTCGCTGTCTTTACCGCTGGAAGGAAGGGACAGATGTTTTTTAAACTCCTAGCACCGAACTGCCTGCTCTTCTCAAGTCTACTATCCCCGGAGAGGACGTGAGAAAGAAGCTGGTGATTTCACGTATTTTTACTACAGTTCCTGCTCTTTGCATTGCTGTGTTAACTGCAATAGAGCAGGAAAAATGTTCTCTAGAACACTATTCTGCCCCCCTCTTACCTGAATTTGTTTTAGAATCTGGTGCTTGTTATTCAGCAAAATATGGCTGGGAAATGTCCTAAGATTCTTTGTGCATCGTTACTCCCCTTTGTGGATGAATCATACTGAGTGTCAGGGCTTCTCACTCTTACCTGCAGTCTTTGTAGTTCCAGTTTTAAATCCTGGTTTCTATGCATTTGTCACTTGTGACAAGCAATTGATGTTCTTATTTATTTTTAATTTATTTTATTTTTAAAATATATTTTTGTTGATATAGAGAGGAAAGGAGAGAGAGGGAGAGGGAAACAACAGTAGTGAGAGAATCGTTGATTGGCTGCCTTCTGCAGGGCCCCTACTGGGAATCAAGCTTTTAACCCAGGTGTGTGTCCTGACCAGGAACTGAGCCGTGACCCTCTGGTTCATAAGTTAGTGTTCAACCATTGAGCCACACTGGCCGGGCTGTTTGTTTTGTAATAGATTTTT